ATCAGCTCACTGAATAGATGTTCAGTGGGTTTGTTCGATCACGGACGACTCTCTCGTCTTAATGCCCTTTCGTTGTTACAAAATGTAAACAAGATGCACTGCCATAGTTATTTTCCTTCTTGCCTGTTTTACATTACTATGGATACTAGTCTGCCTTTCCTATGTACGCCTGCTCCATACTAGGTGTAAAAGTTACACCCGGGCGCAACGCATACAGGGCTTAAGTCTAAGTGGTGCAGTAATCATAACTTTAGTTTGGTCTTAGCCTTCGGTTCTACGTCGGACGTAGAGTTACGCCCAGCTGGTGCACTCCACTCCAGGGACCAAGTCATTAGTCTGCTGCTCTAATTATGTCAATTGGAGTTATGACATCATCGTGTTCCATGACACAGGTGTTTATATTTGAGCTAACGACGTGTCCAGAGATCAAAGGTTTCCATGGTGATTAGTGAGAGTAAAGCATTTTCATTGCTCTGAATGAGAGATAAACCTCTTACATGTGAACGTTTTGTTGAAGAACCGTAACAGATATGTGTGAAATTTCAAAGCGTGAAGCATGTCAAGGAACTTGAGCATCTGAAGTGTACTTTTTGTTTACTTTCGGGTTAATAATGTGGCCTTTTTTGGCAGATTAACTAAAGGTGTGCGGCTGCTGTGGTGGGGAAAGTTGAGGCTGAATTTACAATGGGTTTTAATGGAGTTTTTGTCTCAAGAGGCATTTTGTTTAATTTTAATTTGTTTTTATCTTTCAAGCTACGAGATGTTTTCCTTCGTTTGTCATGAAAAATTATGTATCAGGAATGTAGGGTTTGGGAATTATGGCAGGTTTAAAAGAAAATATGAAGGCAAAATTAAATCTGTCCTCCACTCTAGCTGTGACATCACACACTCTAAAATCTGAAGAAAGCCTCTTTACCAAGGTCTGAACAATGTTTAATATCTCTAAAAGTAAGAATCAGATTTAAAAGTTGTGTTACACGAATAATATCAGAAAGATGTGTGACATTTTAAAGTTGGAATGAGGTTTCTGAGGGAAAGTATGCTAACAAGCAGATCCAGAATGTTCGCTCCTATTACGCCATTGGCGACATCCGGCCGACGTGAAACGTCCCGACCTATCGTCTCCGGCACACGTAACACGTCCCAACCTATCGTCTCCGGCACACGTGACACATCCCCAAACTATCGTCTCCGTATACAGTCGCAGCTGTGTGTCTGTGGCCGTGGCCGTTTCTCAATCGCGATTGAAACTGCTGCAGAGCAACTATTTCAAGTATAGTACGTCATCGAGTGGCGCCGAAGGACTGTTTAAATGCATGTTAAATGCCCAGCATTCTGCGGCACTCTATGACGTAGTATACTTGAAATAGTTGCTCTGCAGCATNAAAACTACATTAAATATCATATCAAGATTTAATTACATTAACCAGGACAATTCTGACTATCTGCTTTTCTTTTCCACATGAGGGCAACACATTTATTAGTGATATACAATATTTGCACTTCAATGGTCTGCTTATTGACTGATTATCTGAGCCACACACACACACACACACACACACACACACACACACACACACACACACACACACACACACACACACACACACACACACACACACACACACACACACACAGAAATATATCACAGTTATGCTTCTATCCATGTGAAGCATAACTGTGAAATCTGATAAAAAACAATAACAGGAAATAAAAAATGTGCATGTTTGTTCTTCCTCAAAGTAATTGTTTAGTGAGAGTCTTTGTCATGAATCAGATGTGCTGTTTTCATTGAAGGAGGCTTCATTAGGCGTCACCCTCAGTGATCAAGCTATTTTCTGTGGAAATGTTTCCCACTTTTCCTGTTCTGTTCCCATCCTTATAGTGACTGGTGAATATTACCATGTGATACTATGTGATAAAACTGATAACTACTGCTGGATGATTTAAATTCCTTGGTAAAGCTAACATTTTCTCACAGATATTGATTCATAAAAAGGCAGACAGACCCTGACATTTAAATCCACCTATGGCACGTTGCTTTTGTTTGTTTACTTTGCCTTACTTGCTATGTGTTTTTTTTTACATCTTTCCGTCTCGTTGGAGCATTCAGTTAAAAGGAGTCGCTTAAAAGAAAGTCTGCTGGAGTAGTAGCCTGAAGGCACTTTGAGGACCATTTAAACTCATGCTGTGCAGTGTATCTTCACACCATGCACACACTTGTGATGGGGGTTAAACAAGAAAAGGAAATGCAGCCGTTGGAAAAATTCCCCATCTGGCACCTCGGCGACTATATGTAAAGTTTGAAAGTCACCCTGAGAGCGGATAAGAGTTTCAGAGAGAGAGAGAGCTGGAAAGCTCTGCGTTTATAGTCTCAAATGAATATCTGATGGTTGTAATAAAACTTTACTTATAGCCTTTAATGGTTCAGTTTCATGCGCCTGCATCTACAGAATCGCATAGACACCGCTGCAGATACCGAGACCATAATCCTGGTCTCCTATGGATTACAAATGAAATGCAGCTAATTTATATCCACTGTAAAGCAGGAATAGTGCGAGATTCATAGAGTGCAGTTGAAAGTAAAAGTATGCAGGTCATAAAGGTTCAGCACAAAGATTTATTCAGTGGAGGCTTGTGTAGAAATCCTGGAGCAACCTGAGAGTTTTAAAAAAAAAAATGTTTAACCTTGACCACAATCTTTCCAGAACCTTAAAGAAATATTTTTATAAATGTGCTTATTGTCATTCTTGCGGAGTCAACTTGCCTTGTAACTTCAGAAGCGAGTCAAAAACTAAGTCAGGCATTTGTCATTTAAAAAATATTGGTTTGATACAGATCAACAAACAATACATAAGGAATGGATAAATGAAATTCAGAGGTGCTGGTAGGTCGTTTTTTATTGAGCCAGGCTTGCTGTTTACCTCAGCTTGAAGACTTTATGTTAAGCCAAGCTAAACGAAGCTAACAGTCTCCTGCTCCATCTTCATAATGATAGATAACAGTTTTCTCATCTTCATAATCATACTCTCAAAAATATTTTTTATATCTGCCTAAATGTTTTACTACTTTACATGTCCTACAACTTCTTTGCCATAAGGTATAGCGAGCAAGATATATGGCTAATGCAATATGTGCCTAGCAGTTCATTTGCATGAATACATATCCCTTTATTTTGGCTGCAGCCTGCTCATATTTGTCGGGTTAATGGAGAGAAAGAAGTGATTTTCTGCACAGGGCCAAAGTGCTTTTTTATGATCATTGTAAATATTTCACTCAAGAAGATGGATGAATTTCAGCAATGAAAAGTATTCATTGCAATTTGAAATGCCTCTGGTTTTAAATTGAAATCACAGAGCGCTGGTGAATGGGGTGACAATTATTCTCCCATGCTGGTGCAGGTCAATGAGGATTGGATGAATCTACTTTGGCATTCACACTTGTGATTTATTATTCATTTAATTCTACTTTAGGCCCTGGGATTCAGACCAATAGCTGCTCTGTTTTTTTTATCTAACACACAAACACACAGCACACACACCCGCGGCTGTAAATCCCTTGTTTTTCTCCTAATAAGAATGGTCTTTGATTACACAGGGGAAAATACAACTAAAGTGGAGGTTTTTTAAACATGTGGTGAAAAGGGGCTTAGCATGGGGTCAATAATTCCAGCAGTTATTGTGAAATAGATTACTATTAATGGTGCTGAACGTTATAAAGCTGCTGTTTTATCTTTACATTGGATTTTCCGTTTTTCCGCAATGCCACCAGATAGCCTGTTAAGAAAAACATTTAAAATCTTGAAAAGTAGTTCATAAATCTGATTTGTTCCTCTGCCCCCTGTCCCTTGTTCTCTCACTTCTTATTGACAGCTTCAGCATGTGCAGGCTGTCCCTTCCATTTGAAAATAATAATTCAATCCAATATCTCTACCTACAGTTGGCTTAATGGAAATGGAGATTAATATGAATGGAGGATTCAGATTGGTGGGGGAGCATTAATAGAGGAACAACACCATGCAAGCAATATAACAAACCCAGTTCAACACTTTGATCTGTTCTTATTTTTTTTATTTTATGATATTACTTCCACATTGAAGCCCAAAGGACTCTTTAAAAATCTCATTGAGAGCTCTTAAGGCTTATTTATTGAAAAATAATCGTGTACCCTTTATTTTTGTCCTCTGTCCTCCTCGTCCTTTTCCTTTTGCGACAGGAGATGATTGCATTGACCGATGTTGGCTCGGACTTGGGGTGCAGTCTGATAAATTACTCTGTCCATCATTGGAGGATGGGAGGAAAAGCGAGGGAGATAACCCGGTTCTCCATCATCCTTTGTCCAAGTGCAGAGAGGAGATTGGATATTGACCCGAGGGTTGGCTTCTCCAGTCCAAGATATTTGAAGACTCTGTCATGGAATGGCACTAAAATCCCTACACTGAATCTCTCTGCACACACATGCGCTTCTTCAAGTGCATATTTGTTTATCATATCACCGGTCAACTTCATGTAAAAACCTGACCTGTAGTCGGGAGGAATGTTTGTTGGCATGGTGAATGGTTACCAGGCCTTGACCCCTGGTTGTTATATGGGAGCCCTGTTCCATGAAATCTTGCTGCCTTTTCTATCTCCAGCCAGTTAACAGCTGTTATAACAACTACAGTCATCTCACTTACAACATGGCGGCTATTCGGGTCTACCTTTAGCTTTTCAATTCCATGCATGCCTGTTCCTCATTATCCCACATTTACTGTTTCATTGTCACAGCTCTACACCTGTTCTGGCCTGTGGGTGCCTTCCCTTTCACACCCCCTGTGTCTTATTCTTTTGTGTCTGTCCTTCACCTGTCCTGTCATTATAGACAGTCTCTGCACAGCGCCACCTGACCACGGCGGAAATCCCTGCAGGGGCAAAGACGTCTGTATTTGGGGGAATATCCTGCACAGCTGAAGAGGAGGGGTTCTCGCTGGAGGCCGCACTCCCGCCGCAAAACCGAGAAGGCTGGGAGGATGTGGTTGACTTCGGAGTCCACCACATCACACTGCACCTCCAACCTGAGGGGGGGAACAGAGGAGTCTGTATATACCTTTGAAAACAGTTCACTGGGTGTAATGACAATGAATGTTCTGGCTTTTCTTAGAATTTAGAAAATGTGAGTGATAAAAGTTGTTCTTATTTGAGACAAGAAACAGGAAAGCGGAACTGGCAACACCTCAAAAGAAATGGAAGAATCAGACAGGAAGAGGAGAAATGTCATCACTTTCACCTCACTACAGACGCCGGTTCAAAAGAGAAAGACAATATTTAGGAGAGAATTGACAATGTGTTTAGAAAAAAACTGCAAGGCAGGTGTGATATGTCAGTGTGAGAAAGATAACTTGTGTCAGAGAACAGACCTCAGCAACAAGGAGGAGTAACAGAACAAAAACAAAAGGAGAGAGGCACTGTAAAAAGAGACAGGCAGAAAATAAGTAAACACGAAAGATACTTGGAATATGAAACGAACAAAGAAGGAGAGCCACATCTGAAGCAGTCAGTAGAAAAATGTTTGGAGGAGAGACTGAAACTCCAGCAGGCTTTCTCTCAGAAAAACTTTAGTTTTGGTTCAACTGCCTGGAGCTGGTACAGTAAACTAAATAAACACCTTGTGAGATTCAGCTGCCCCTGTTCTAAGTGTCAACTATTATAAGAGAAGTTATCCATCCAGAAAAACAGAGTAGGCTTGGACTTTATTACTTTGTGTGGATGAAGAGTAAGCACCAGGAGTTTTTAAACTCGGATATGTTGTTCTTTTGAGAACACTTGTGATGAGATGACACACGATAATAATAATTGTGTGCGCAGAAGTCCAAAGACTGTGAGTGAGGAGATGTTACTGCATCAAATACTATCAGGCATGATGTATTTTAGGGCCTGTGTCCAAATTGTGTCTGAAAGCAAGCTCCTTTTTTCATTGTTTGCAATGAAGGGAGAGTGCATGCTGCTGCTTAACACAGCGTCTCTTTAACAAGCATACAGCGCTTTTATTTGAAAATATCTCAGTGCTGTTGCATTTCTGCCAGAACGTGCAAGCAAGGACACGGGTCACATTGAACAAATCTCTGTTTTGCCTCAGATATCCCTCTCAGGGTTAGTTGGTGTGTGGTGTAACAATCCTAAAATTAAATGCAGTGTCAATTAAAGAGTCACTGATTGTAATGTTATGTCAAAAGTCTTTTTTTCCCTTGTTTCATGTCTTGAGCAATTGTCTTTTTTGATGTTGCAAATGGAATAGAAATCTACATGTTGGGACTAAAGGCACAGACACATCAGGCCGATTATCGGCGTCGGTAGGCGTGAGGCTGACGATGAGCGTCGACACGCCCTACTCAGATTGGTGTGTCCCGCACCGTCGGGTCTTTTCAGCCGGGCCGACGCCTTTTCGGCCGAAAACCGGCAGTTGGAAAAATAAATCACTCTGATTGGCTGTTCAGCTATAGCGAATCAGTGCATGAGAAGCGAAACGGAAGTGAGGGACCTAAACGAACTATTAAGAAGACAAATCTGAGATTTCATTTAACTCCAGCTCTCGACACAGGTTGGGGAAAGCCCCATGAGCTTCTCGCTGTAGAGTGAAAATGGAACACACACGCTATTTGTTGTTAGTTTATATCATGCAGTCTGTTCTTCTTCTCTCGGTTATCACGGTTGTTGCCTCTTTTGAATGACAAATACACACTACCGCCACCTGCTGGTAAGGAGAGTTATTGCCACTCACGCATGCGCAGTTGGTACATGCTTCTTGGCCGTCAGCTGAAGTCTTTGCGGTGTGTTCCAGTGTGACACATGGCCAAAACGCAGAGACGCGAGGCGACGCAACAGTCGGGGTCCGTCTGTGTCAGTTCTTTGTTGTCAGATTGGTGTGTCCGGGCCTTAAAGTCTCTACCAAAATTAGGTTGGATGGACTTCAGCCTGACTTACCTGCGCAGGGCCTCCTTGTTGTTGATGAAGTGGAAGTGAGCGGGCTCACAGATGAACCCCTCCGAACGGCATGTCTCTACACAGGACTGGCCCTCCTGAGACACGAGAAGCCGGAGGGAGCTGAGAGGGGGCCAGGCAGTGGACGCCGTCACGTTGGAGGCCCAGCCGAGCGCTGTGGAGTTGGGCAGGGGCACAAACAGAGGTCCTGGGACCCTGCTGCCACCAGCAGACCCCGGTCTGGAGAGGTTGGTTGGAACAAAGGGAGGCTCGAGGGAACAGAAGTCCTGGAGGTGACACACATTTTAACTTTAGTTAACGCAATTATGTTATTGTCAATCCAAAGTTTAGTTTTTAGTGGACCTGCCCAATTTAGAATATTTTGGGCTGTATGTGAGCCATCACTAAAAGAACACCAAAAGAGGGCAAATGGTATTAAAAAGATGCACTTTAAAAGATGTCCACGTTTGAACTAATTTAGACTTTTGAAAAGGCATGTTAGCTTTACCTTAACATATGAATTGTTGCAGGACTGCGGATTTTGTCCCTATCACCTAGATTGAAAGCTCTTTAGGGATTTCTTTACTGCCAGTATTAATAAAAGGACAGTAACAAAAGAGTTTGTCTGGTTTCATATTCATACCAAGCTGTTGTGACAATTGGAATAAAGTTGAACTCCTGTCAACTAATATGACAACCAGTGCAAGTTCACTGAGCCACTGTCACTTCATAGGCGATGCCTGCACTGTGTTAACATGACAATTTTACCACAATTTAATTTGTGAACAACATAAAAGCAAGGAAAGGGAAGGTATATTTAAACCCCCTTCAACAAAGGGCCAATTCAAAGAGTTCTACTGTACTGTTATCCAGCCTTAGCTACTAAAGCTTGCCACCAATCATTATTACTAATCAATAATTATGTGCTGACAAATACATTTTCATTAATGCGGTAAAAGTATGTGTAATAAAAACACAACAAAGGTTAATTGCTGAATGTAATTTAGCTTGGTTCTCCTGTGTTTTGACATTATTAATGCTGAAGTAGCAGTTTCCAAACCGGCTGCCAGTCGAGCAGACTAAGTTTGTTGAGAGGCACCTCTGTTGTTTGTCTGACATCTAGTGTGGGATTATTAAAAAGTATTTCCTTCATCCCAGTCCTCCATCACCATCATGCCCACTCTTATGCTCTTTGTCCTTACTCATCCCTCCTCATTAGTGTCAGGAGATCTTCAGCTTTAGAGCTGCAGGGCAGATATGTGGTTTGAAATGACAGTTAGCCTGTAGATTCATCACAACACACACACACTGGATGTTGAATGCACACAGTTTGAAATATTGAGCGGAGTGGGGAGTTGGTGAAATGAGTGTGTGTAAGAGAGAGGGAGGACGACGGTAAAAGAGAGAATCTCTGGATGTGTGTGTTTCATTCAGCGCATCGTGTGTGTTTTTACTTGATGTGGACAGAGCCTCACCTGATGCTGAATGTAGGCATGTACTCTCTCCAGCATCCCCTCACACGTGTACTCATAAGGCAGATACGGCTTAACCTGAAAATGACACACAAGCACATTATTATTTCCATATTCTGCATATATCAAAATGTACTTCTTGCTGCTGCCACTTCATTGTTCATACTAATTGCAATACATCGTTTCTTCTCCTTGTTGATTTCAGCAGATGAATGTTTCCATTGTCAGAATTCTGCGAGGCCTAATCACAGTGTGTCACTGCTTGGAAATTCATTAGGCTGTATTTGCATACCAATAGATCATCCCCTGCTGTGATGTGCCAGTTGTATAACTAAGCGCCATTTTTGATTAGCCTAATTAGAAATGAGCTTTGTATATACATAATATATATTCTTTTATGTTTCTGGCTGATACCAGTTCAATACACACTGACAAACTGACTGCAACTATACCGGATGAATGTGAAATGGGTCCAACCAGTGCTTGGATGATTACAAATTGAATTAGCTAAAAAAACACTGCTTTATATAGTTGATATCCTGATTGGAAATCAGCCACACATGAAAATGTCAATTAAATCATGATTTACTTGAAAGGAGTTGTTACGAAAGTGTTACAAATTGAAAATACTTCACCTTAATGCAAAAGACCTGCCTCTGTAAATGACACATGACTCTCTAAATTGCATTTGCAAACAGAAATCAAAGCAGCCTGATGTTTATCCATGTGTGAAATCAGACGTGGCCCATTTCAACGTAAAATCCTTGAGAAGCAAGTATGGTATGATGCAATTTAAAAAAGTTCCGAGCACTGCAAATCCGATCAAAGCCTTATATTAATCTACTTTGTGAGCTGACGCAACATTTAAACACGCGCACAGGAGGGACACAAACACAAGCAGAACAGATATCTATTTTAACAGAGTTCCTCCTTTTCTTTTCTATCACTTCTCTTGGCTTTACAGGAACATTGAATTAGCTTGTGAAAGACAGAAATGTTTCCAAAGCTAAAGAAACATCTGTTTTCTCATAACATGTGGTCTACATCTTTTCAATGCAAACACCAATTAAAATACAGCATGGAATCTTAGGTTGTAATTTGGCCAAATCTATGTAAAGTACTCCAACTGAAAAAAAGACTGAAGGACAGAAACAGAGGCAGAACGGAGGGAGGAAAGGGGATTACAAAAACAAGGGTTGAGAAAGAAGGAAGAAAAAGGAAGAAAGTGATGAAGGACGGATTTATTGGAACATGAGGACTTGTCAGCCAGCCAGAGATTGCTTTGTCCTGCATGACTGAATGTGATCCTCTACCACACACACACACACACACACACACACACACACACACACACACACACACACACACACACACACACACACACACACACACACACGGTTGGTAAGGCTCTGTGTGCCGATATGCCTGATTTGTGCAACTTCATTGTCTCTCCAATTGTGCTTCGGGTTTGCATTTTGTGTGTGTGTGTGTGTGTGTGTGTGTGTGTGTGTGTGTGTGTGCTGGCCGGGGCATTGTGCCTCCAGTGAAGGGTGAAGGGGTATATCAGCTCCCTCTCAGCGGTCTGACAGTGCAGACGGAGACAGAGCAGTCAGCCTAGGCTGCTGAACTGTATCTTGTTCAACAACACAGACAAGACGTTCGGTGCAGTATCACTGCGTGGGCGAAGTGTCTGAGGCAATGCTTGCTCGAGGGCTAGGCAATTAAAGCCATGTAAAGAACAGTGATCCTCTGCTTAATCATTCTAAATGTCAATATCATACACTTGTGCACCTGAAATCTATTACAAACATGCTTAGTTTTTAGATATAAAAGGATAAGTCTGTGTGTTCCAAACCGAACAGAAAAATGAAGGCATTTAGTCTCGGCCTCAAACTCTTTCTCTGTCTGTATGTCTCCCTCTGTTCTTTTCCCATGTTATCCCACTTTGTTGTGCATTCCGGAAAGATTACATCTGCCCAGTTAAATCTCTGTCTCACTCTTGCTAGTTCCTACTATCCTTATACTCTCTGTGCCCATACACATCTCCTTGTGTTGAAGTTCAGCAATATCAGACTGCTATCTACATCCTGGTCACCCGGAAAGTTACACTGTGGCAAAGTATCAAAGTTTAAAAAATGCTTTATCAAACAACAAAACACATAGAAAACCGAACAAACATGTATGTAAATTGAATCTCTAAGATTCATAATCGTGACTCAGATATAAAAAAAAGGTTTTTATAGTTTAACTTTACTTTTCATGCCAAAGTGTTTCCCATCAGGGACCAGATTGATTAGATCACAGCTAGCCCCAGTATTCATGTTAAAATGAACTATGATTTAATGGGGAATCAGTGCATTACATTTCTTCACATTCACAAAGTAGACGACTGCCTAGACCAAAGGAGAAGCTGAATCCATCGGAAAGGCTTTTCAGTTTTAATTTTATGTCAGTGCCTGATGGCTTAGCTGCACCAGAGAGATGAAAGCGCTGGCACACAACATACACGTCTTGTTTTCTACGCCTGTGAATTACACTCGGTAAGATTACCTGGGTCCTCATGATTTCCCTGATGGCAGAGTCAAACTCCAGCGAGTTGTTGAAATCCACCGTCATGACGTGAGGTCTGCCGATGTACTGCTCTGCATACGGGTGCTGCGAGGACACCTACAAAACACAACAAGAGTATATTGCTTATATGTAACCTTTCCTTTCAGATAGAGGATACTGTCTTTATAATGTATCTTTTATTGCTCACTAAATGTATTAAATACAAATCTCAATGATCATTTTACAAATGTTTGAAAAATATATATTACATTACATGTCACTTGTTAGACGCTTTTATCCAAAGCGACTTACATACTCAATACTGTGGGAAATCCCCACAGGAGCAATTTGGGGTGAAGTGTTTTGCCCAGGGACACAACGACATGCTGACTGCAGTGGGGTTTGAACCTGGACAATCCACTACGCCACACGCCTCCTACATATATTTTATATGAGTGTCTAGTTTGATACCTTTAGAGCAGCGCTAACATATTAACTTATCATGGTCACATCTTGAAGAAGTTCTTCTCAGGGCTATAAAGAATACACTGGGCCAGAGAAATGTACTGCAAAAATGCCTCCAAAGCTGTGTGCACAGTCATTGAGGCGGAGGCGTGTGGCGCAGTGAATAGAGCGTTGGTGTTCGGATCAAGGGAGCACAGGTTCAAACCCTACTGCAGTCAGCATGTCGTTGTGTCCCTGGGCAAGACGGTTCACCCCAAATTGCTCCTGTGGGGATTGTCCACAGTATTGAGTATGTAAGTGGCTTTGGATAAAAGCGTCTAACAAGTAACATGTAATGTAATTGATAGCAATCGTGTTGTACAGGGATCGCCATGTTCCAGCCACTTATCAAGCGCTAACATGTGCCGTCTGCACCTACAGCTTTTGCCAGTTCTTTTAAGAGTTTCACTGATTAACAAAGCTACTTGGCAACTTGGCTGTTAGTTAAAGCTGCAGTGGGCCAAAATGTTCTCATCAGTGAGTAACAGTGGGGGAGTGATTAATATAATGAGCTCACCTCTCTAGATGTGGGCTTGCCTCTGAAAAACTCATGGTTGAGCGAGCTGTGAGGCGGCGTGAACTTGGGCTGCAGGAAGATGCAACCATTGGCTATTGCTTCAAGAGGGGCCGGGCCTTCGTAGGGGAAACCAAAGCCAATGAAGAGCTGGAAGAACAATCAGGAATGTTATTTTTGTAAAAAACTTAATTCCCTTTAACATGTTTTTACATCAGCATTGTAATGCGTTATGTGTGTAAATCACTCTCTGGATAAATGTGAGTGTATAGTAAAAGACAACATTGAAAATTGAAGCTGCAGAAAGTGACAGCAGAGAGATGTTGGTCTTATTTTCTTCGGTGCCTTGCCTTGGCCTTGCGCAGCAGTTGCTGCAGCTCGTGCTGGGGCAGCAGGCCGTGGTTCTTCACAAAGGCCGGGACCTCTGGAGGTCTCTGGGTCTCATAGTACACTGTGCCGTGGACCTCCATGTAATTGTGGAGAATCTGCAGGAAACCATCTTTACCCTGCTGGGAGAGGAGGGGAAAAAGATGGGTTTGTGAGCTCGAGGGTGAAGGGTGAAGAGAGGAGGTTGTATGGAGAACAATATTTCGGTATTAGTACCACATGTTTGCACAATACAATGCAGTACAGAGTATCCACGTTTGTCTATAATTCCTTCACCTCCTGCAAATTGAGGCAAAAGTCAAATCTCTCTTTCATGCCAAAAAAAGCGCATAAGAATACAATTGTGGCCTTAATGGCTGCTGTGAATTGTAAACACACACTTGAATGATCCTGAATGATGTCTTATCCCTGAACCACTCCTACTATTCTTTTTTTCTCAATGTTTTTGATTCATAAGAGACGTATCGGATACACATGATATAGTTATACCCAACATATTCTATAAGCTAGTGAAAGGTCTCCTGGACGTGGGTTACAATTGACCTTGAGATGCAACATTTTGTTTAAAAGCCTTGGTATTACATATATATATATATATGTATATAATATAATCCATTTGTGTAATCAACAGACTATTTCAAATCATCAATAAACTCCATTCAACAGATTTCATTTAGCAAGGCTTGTGTATTATTCATAAAAATGTGTGAGAGGAGAACCGGAGAGGCACACTGTCAAAGTCAAGGTTGAACATGATGATTTGAGAATAATCACCGAACAGCATCAGTTAACAACCCGAACTGAATCATGTGAATGCAGCGTAACCCTGGGCCACAGTATTGACTGGGCTGTCTGCTGTTGAGCAGCTTACTGTATCCCTGTACCATGGTGCTGCCCCCCCCCCGCAGCAGTAATTGGAGGCTGTAGCGGTCGATAGGATTTTCCCAGCCAATTAGGAGATTAGCTCAAGCGTTAAGTGCAGCAGACAACATGAATTAAAAGAAGGAGAAACATGGGTGTGGAAGAGTGCAGACTCCAGAGCCATCTCTCTCTCTCTCTCTCTCTCTCTCTCTCTCTCTCTCTCTCCATTTCCAAGCCTACTCTCTCAACATGCATCAGAGTAGGACTGGTAGGAAGTATGTCGTTCTGTGCTGATTTTTAGCCCAAACCTTTTTTTTTCTTGATGTAGATAAAAGAAAACTGGACATCAATCAATCAATCAATCAATCAATCAATCAATCAATCGGCAGAGTATGTCAGAAGAGTGCTTACTGTAAGTCTGCCTGCCAAACTTGTAGCTCTTTCATGCCACACTATGTTGTTTACAAAGTGGTAGAGGCATATTGACCACATAAGATTAATTTAGGAAACAATGGGTCCATGATTCCAGACATAGGTAGACAAAATCTTATTTGTAACCAATCAGGAATAATGTTCTGAAATAATAGCTATAAACATGGAGGCTTCCACCTCATTTCTTTAGCTATGAATCCATTAGTTATGAATCCAATGCCTTGCATTTTGTGCTTGAGAAGAAGGAAGAAAATAAGGAAGAGAAAATGCTGTATTGGCCAGATACATTCTGTTACAACCTACAACAGGAAACTTACATCCCTCATATGAAAGGCTTCCTTCTGACGAATAAGATGATGAAAAGATAATTATGTTGTACATAAAACTCTTGAAGAGAGAATGATGCGATGCATTAAAGTGCACTTGCAAAAAGTATAGTTTCCCATGAATCAATTGTCTGGATCAAACACTGACACTAAGTGTGTTTGTATAATCCAGTTGAGTTTTCCTTGACATTCTGACAGTGAGTGACTTGTTTCTTTTGAATTGTCCTCAAGAGGAATATGTGGTGAAAGCACGAGTCTCTTACCTGAAGCTAATGAGCATCCATCCAGTTTCAGCACAAAAGAAAAGGAGACAGACAGAAAGAAAGAAAGAGAGAGAGAGAAAGAATGTAAAATAAAATCAGATGAAAACATTTGCTTAAGAATATAACAATAGTGAAAACAAAGAAGATAGAGGAGCCATACATTATGCAATACTTTAAATGTTTTGCCTTTTCCTCAGGCTTTTGTAGATTAAGTTATTCTACTTTCATAGCCCCATCCCCCCAATCCTGTCTCTGTTCTTCTCTTTCACTATAATGTGAAGAAATCCAGCAAATCGTACTGTGGAGAGAACAGGCGGCGAACAACATCAATATAATCATTTTAACAATGGAAGCACAACTGTGCCGCCTTACAATATGCAGAGGAACAAGCAGCAGCTTTTGAGAGTAAAATTGCTAGTAAATTAAAGCTGTACAATTGTGTATATAGAGCAGCATGAAGCTGAGCTGTAATGGTGCAAACAGCAGGGGGGGGTGCAAAATGCTGCCATTGGATTTTTCTGTTATCACTGCAGTCTATTGTGGGGGGTATTGTGTGTGTGTGAGTGAGTATGCTCAATGTAGAAAGAGACTGCTGCTGTTTGAGACATTCAGAAATATGTTAAAGCATTTCCTTGTGTGAATGTTTGTGAGTTGTTTTTTTAATGCATAAAGTGTAAAACAACAATATGTGCATAAGTGAACATTTTCCAACATATAATTGCAATGTGTGATTTGTGTGTTCTGTCTATATACTGTTGCCCTCCAGGAAATTCATTTTCTTTATACATGGACTAATTTACATTAAACAGAGCTTTGTCGTCGCTACCTTCCACATGCTGGCCTCCTTCCCGTACACTACGGCCATGTTGTTGACTTTGTTCTGCTGGATGCTCTTCTTCTCCGTCTCGTTCAGCTCCTCCGAAACGAAGCCCATGAATGAGTTGTCTGGTGTGTGTGCTGAATGTGTGTATGTGTGTCAGAGCAGCAAGGTAAGGCAGGATAGCAGTAGGAAGACAAAAGAGAGGAAGAAAAGTGTAATTGTTAGAGAGAGACAGTGAGGAAAGAGAGAAAAGCGCAATACATCCTTGTTTGTTTCAGTTCGATGACTAAGTCAGTGATTATCGACACTGTAAGTGTTATAAATATGGATTGTCATAAAGCCAGCTGCTGGTGGCTATACGAGGCTGAGATGGTTTGGCAGCACTAAGGTGTACTGAAATGATTCACTGACTTTCACTTTGCATTATCATAATAAACTACAGAATGCAAAGCTTTTTAGAGCATCCTCACAATCAATGGCATTCCTTTTGTTTGCTGTGTGCATTTTTATAGTTTGAATAAAAGCTTCTGCTGCAAACTCACAAGAAGAAGCGTTAAGAAAGGGTGAGTGAGGGGTAATTGCTTAGTCCGTATGAAACGTGGGCATCTACAGGGGGGTGACATATTGACTTGGCTGTTGTCGAGTCGTGAATATGAGAGCAGAAGAGAGTTAGGTAATCGTTTCAGTCAGTAGCAGTGAGGAGTCAGACAACAACCAGGGCTTTGAAAACCGCAGATCAGACATATTGTGTAGCATGAAGCGGAAAAAGAAAAACAAACAAGCTAAAGAACAGATTCAGATTGAAGCTGTGGCGTTGCTGATAATAGCTGCCTAAGAGACATTACTCCAAATTAATGTGAACATGCAGGCAGACCTGTCAAAGAAAGTGAAAACACTGTCAAACCTAATGACAGATCTGTATCTCTGTGTGTATGACAGTTCAGAGTTTTAACTTTCACGTTTTGAAGTTAAAAAATACAGAGGCTTGTTTTTTACAACCAGGTTTTTTTAAGCATGACGATTGGTTCTTACGGAACATGGTCATGTACTGCCTGGCGTTGAGGTTCCAGTAGCCCCAGTTGGTCCGGTAGCCGTGCAGCGTGGCGTACTCCTCATGATTATAGGCTGGCTCCGTCCCAAACGTGTCAATAACTCGGATATGACATCTGCAAAGACCACAAAACAAAACGTTAATATTTTCATTTTCATGTGAATAATCATATGTAACAGAGTTATACGTACACATGCTAATCTAACACAAGCAAAAAGCAAACAACATACCAGTAATAAGCATTCAACATTTCCTTTTATTTGCTTACAAATACATTGTAAAGTGCTAAAGTGCATTACTGGTTCTAATACATAAAGTGATGCCAAAATATCATCAGATTGTTGCTGTTTATTTTGTATGTATATCTATAGTATGAAAACCACATAAATAAAATTGATGTTTCTTCATCATGTGTACTTATATTTATATGATATATATTGTATTTACTAATTTCATGGTAAGTATTTGGGCCCTTTATCACTGTCTCACTTTTCATGAAATGTGTTAATGCAATTTTAACAAAAAATCACAGCATGATAATTTATTTACTGAGCTTAGTGACCTTAGACCATTCTGAGCCCTGCCTCACTATATGTTCCTGCTAGGTTACCGCAGATTATGCGCACAAGCTAAAAGCAATATGCAGGACAAATCTTGCTCAAATGAGTAAATCTTGCCCAGTGCGGTATAAATTGTTTATTTCCCAACTTTGACAACAGCACAAAATATTAGCAATGTGTTTCAAACAAAAACACAAAAATATTACCCATCTCTGCTAAGTGCAGGGTGGGAGCTTAGAAAAGAGAATGACAAGAATAAAAAAATATAACCTCTAAGGTTTAGAGGTGGGAGTTGTGATAGGACACTGATAAGGGCTTACAGGTGAACGCTTAGCAGCACAGCACTAAAGGCTTTGCATCAGTCACACACACACACACACACACACACACGCACGCACGCACGCACGCACGCACGCACGCACGCACGCACGCTCAATGCCCTTGTCTGTAACAGTGAGTGTGTTCAATCAAGCCAGTCTGATAGCTCAGTGGATTAACAGGAGCTAAAGGTGGCCGAGTCCACTTCCTCTTTTGTCTATCCATCACTGATATCAGCCCATGTCACATGACGCTTTCCTTTCACATTTAGCGTGGTCTTGGGAGAGTCTGATCACACAACTTTTATAACCACATCTATACTCAAATACATCAGGTTGTGTTATGCTGTTGAAGATGCTCATAATGGACACATTGGTGTCCTGTCTGTTCAATGATATATTTCCTACAGTACAATACACTATAGTGCTTAGACTTTGATTTGAGTTATAATCTGACAGCTACAGTGGGGCAAACAAGTATTTAGTCAGCCACCAATTGTGCAAGTTCTCCCACTTAAAAAGATGAGAGAGGCCTGTCATTTTCATCCTAGGTATACCTCAACTATGAGAGACAGAAGGAGAAAAAAAAATCCAGAAAATCACATTGTCTGATTTTTAAAGACTTTATTTGCAAATTATGGTGGAAAATAAGTATTTGGTCAATAACAAAAGTTCATCTCAATACTTTGTTATATACCCTTTGTTGGCAATGACAGAGGTCAAACGTTTTCTGTAAGTCTTCACAAGGTTTTCACACACTGTTGCTGGTATTTTGGCCCATTCCTCCATGCAGATCTCCTCTAGAGCAGTGATGTTTTGGGGCTGTTGTTTTGGGGCTGTCGCTGGGCAACACGGACTTTCAACTCCCTCAGGGAGTTGAAAGTCCGTGTTGCCCAGCGACAGCCCCAAAACAACAGCCCCAAAACATCACTGCTCTAGAGGAGATCTGCATGGAGGAATGGGCCAAAANCCCTAAATGTTTGAGCACCCTCTACGAAACGTCAAGCTACCCCACAGCACCCCCAAAATAAATCTCTGGCGCCGCCACTGAGCCTGACTTGTGTTGGGGGGGCCCAACTTTTTTTTTTCTCCAAAGGGGGGGCCTGACAGAAAAAGTTTGAGAACCACTGAGTTAGACAATAAAAGAGAGCGTTCCTGTTGAACAAAGTTGGTAATGCATTTTGGCTGACATGGAGTTATACTATACATACAAAACTACTGTGTTGTCATCTCCTTTATCTCTTATGTTCCCCACAATCGTTGGTGTCTTGATATTTGCTCCCCATAATGTTAGATTAAGGGGGGCTCTGTCCGATCATTAACTTTCTGAAACTGACGTCTCTACACAACAAAGTGCAACTAATGCCTTTTGAAACTTCCTGATCATTTACTATGCTAACAACAACGTGACAACGTGTGCGCCCCTTCTCTATGACTACTTGTGTACTTACATTTTTCTAATCAAACATCATCTCGGTTGCTGTCTAAAACTGCTCAAATGGTAAACTCATCAGATCTTATTAATGGTTATCACATTGGAGTTTCCTTTCTTTCTTCATCCAAATTAGTGCAAAGATTAATTTGTTACTTTTGTTCTGTTTTGTATATTTTAGTCTTAGCTTTTTCCTAGCGTTATGGAAAACAAGCAATGTTCTCAAGGAGCATGTTTGGCAAACAGCTTGGGAAGCTAGACTTTTGCCATTATAATATTATTCCTTGGAGTCAATTTATTTCACTTGATTTTGTCCTGATTGTAAAACCCATTTCAGTTATTACTCCCAGTCTCCTCCCCCCAAGCTCAGTTCTCTTGGCATTTTAATTCCTGCTCTGTTTCTGTGCACTGTTTGACTCGCTGTGTCTGTCTCCGGCACATCCTCTCATCTGTTCTTCTACCTTAAGGTTGTCAAGTTTCACAATCTTATTGCAACCCCAGGGTAAAGTCCCAGTTGCCATGGAGATCTGACTTCTGGCCTTTTGTGTGTGGAGGTGAAAAAACAGAGTTAAAGCCAATCAACCCTTCCAATACAGTAAAGAAAGAGAAAAGAAGAAAAGTGTATTTAATTTATCCTTGTGACTGTATGTGCTGATAATAGTGTGACTCGACAGATACGAGGCTACAGCAGCGAGGCACATTCAAAATGATTCTCCACTAAGAACGTGAGGAGATTTAGTTCTGGTGTTGTTTTGTTTGTTTTTAACTTAGATTAGCATTCTGCCGTGGTAATTAGAGAGAAAAGCTGGTTCAACAAGTACATTTGAGGGCACAACGAGATTGCTAAAGTTACCTTTGAAAAACATAGAATTCCTTTTATTTTACCCTTTTGTCACACTACAAGGGCCCCAAAGTGCACGCCTGTGTGCACTCGACAGACACATGGAGCACTCTTGTGGTCTGCACGACCTCAACTCCCCCTCAACTCCTTGAAAGTGATATTGATAGGTTTTACCCTAAACAAAAATCTAATACTCATTCCAATCCCGTAGTTAGTCCATGTGTCCCTCTCTTATTTGGTCTATCATGAGTCTCTGAACTCAACTGATTTCTGTTAATAGCTAAAGCTGCTGGTGGTATGGGTTACAGTTAAACTGCTCATATGTGTTGCTTTAATCCTTTAGCAACTTGTGCTTTTGTTCTGAACAACTGCTAGCGGTGCTCTGAAGAAAAAGGTTCAATTGTCTGTAGAGGCCAAGATCTGTTTTTACAACACTCTTATTAACAGATAACAATTGTTATATAGACCATCTGTACATAAATCTTTTGCACCTCAAGTTTCATCTGTCCTATAAAAGTTTTTGTATGTGCGTCCTCTCTACGTTGCCAACTAAATTGTCATTTCAGTAATTGTAGTTCAACATCTACAGTAGTATTTTCCTGTCCTCTGTTTCCAGTGACGTTATTGAAGCCAACCAATCAAATAACAAAAGGAATCTCACTCTTTCCCCAGATGCTAATCCCCTGACCTCCTTCAGGATCTTAAGGAACAGCAGTTAACTAAGTCATTATCTGGATTATTTAAAAAAGAAATCCTTGTGTGACTTTTTCTCAATAGGGTTACCAAAATAAATATATATTTAAAATGTATTATTTCATGTAAAAAAAAATCAGCCGGTTTATAAGTCTATATTTTTGTGATAGGGAGTGTTTCACTGTAAGAAAAAGCAGCCATGTGTTCCTGTGAATCTGTGTGTGTGAATATACCACTGCAGCAGGGACTGATGTGAAGGAGCTAAAGCTAGTTTGCATCATAAGCTCATTGCTATAAGTCTGGCGATTTGGCTCGTGGAAATGGCTTGCATAACCCAAGAGATTAATGCAAAAAGAGCTATCAGTGAGGTTACGTAATGCCTTATCAAATTGGATTGGTCCTCAGATTCTCTCAGTTGCACACTTGTTTTTCTCTGTATTTTGCTCTCTGTTCATGCATTCTGCTTTCTTTGTGTTGCCTTGCAGTTGTCTCCAGTTGCTTTTGGTCACATTTCCTCTCTCCCTCTTTGATCTGTTTGTCGACATGAGTTGGCTTAACGTGTTCTGGCCTTGTGAAATGGTTTATGTGGCAACCTCCAAAAGTCTGATGTAAAACATGTAATAGAATTGCATTTAATGGTGTGGCTTCGACAAAGTCTAGCTTTGAAAGTGTGCATTTCCTCTGAGAAATACAACTTGTGCAATCTGCAGAATAAGCAGGTGAATGGGAATATGTGGGTGGTTGTGGGAGTTGCTGTTTGTTGAAGTGTTTGGTCTTGTTCTTCTTTTTTGTTCTGAGGTGTTTCTGTTTTCCCATGAAAAATCACAACCCCCTTGTTATTTTGTCCATGTTTCTTCCTCCTCGATCTTCATCCCAACCCATCAACCTGACTCCCTCACCCTCATCATTAATGTGTAGC